ACTTTTTGACGATGCTGGAACAAAACTTCTTCAACCTCACGTAGGCCAATGCTTCCTGGGCAGTCATACCTTCCGCCGAATCCACCAGCATCAAGTTTGAGTCCACTTCAACCGGATTTGAAGATAAATCCAGTGATATATCACCCACAGGCTGCGACTGGACGGTATTCAGCATGTTGCACTCGACGTTGCATGTGGATTCCTCATCCACCAACCGGGTGGGTGCATGGATCACGTATGTGCGTCCCATCAGCCCAGCCACCCCTGAGCTTGTGTCCCACGCCTCCTCCGATGTCCTTTTCTGCTTGTACGTCGCCATCCTGTCTGGCCTCACATGCACCGTCTCTTGGGATCTTGGCCTTTCTTGTCCACTTTATCCGCAGTGCACCGAGCTGCATCCCGCAATAAGCTGTCCTCACAAGGCACCAGAGCCGAGGCCCCAACCCGTGGTTGGTCGGTTTCAGGGATAATTTGCTCTTTTGACGTGTCGACCTGGTCTTGCTGGCTTGATTCTACTATGACCAGATCTTGTACTCTTCTAGCACGCATCGAAACAGCGGATGGGGCCACCTCATCTGCAACCACCACAACGGGCGGGGCAACCTCTCTCTGAACCTCAGGTCCCACCAGTCCCTAGCGCATGGGGTACGTCAATTGTCTGGGTCCGGCTCACCTGCGGGGTTCCCAGCAGGGATTATTATGCAGGGCCAATAAATGAGTGCCATGTGTCTTTGTGGGCCAACAACTACAATTAACTTTGATTAATTTTGTTTCCTACTGCATGGATCCTTCCTCGCCACGAGACTAGTTGCTACTAGCGCCGATGGGTTTTGATTCGTCGGCCCGCGGCACCGCTAGGAGTTCTACCTCCTGTCGTGGATGCCGGCGGCCGCCCCAGCCGAGGCTCACGCAGTGCTGCATCCCATGGCGACGGCCCCGCCGGTGGCTGAAGCACCTGTCGTGCAGGCCGCGGCCCAGGCCTCGTCCACGAGCGAACAAGCACAAGCGGAAAAAGGAGAGGGGCAAGAAGAAGGCGCATGTTCCCTCGTCGGAGTCGCTCAGCCCGCCGGCGCCCATGGCGCCCGAGCTCACGCACACCACCGTTGAAGACGTGTCCGCCTAGCACCCTCCGTCAACGATCCAATAATTCCTCAGCCAAGATTTAACCTCTTTTAGTTTGGTCGATCGAAAAAGGGATGAAACGATGAACTGATTTGCATTGGTGCAGAGCTGGAGCGGCCGGAAGTACAGGTACTGCGGGGTCGTCGTATAGACTGCCATGGTTGTTCTTCTGTGGTCGTTTGCTCGATGCGATAGAGATCCATCATTAAGATTGTAATCTCGCCAATACGGTAGATAAAGACGGCGGCGCTCCACCAGACTGAAAATTAAGGACGCAGGGTAGTCCTCGACTGGCAGTACACGACCCAGCTACATCCTCGGCGATTCGGCTCGGCGGCCGAGCAAGCACAGCTAGCTTCCTATTTCTTCGGCGCAGACGCCGGATGATGAAGCAGCAGGAAGCAAAATTAATCAAAGTTAATTATAGTTGTTGGCCCACAGAGACACATGACACTTATTTATTGGCCCTGCATAATAATCCCTGCTGGGAACCCTGCAGGTGAGCCGAACCCCAATTGTCTTGCAGAACCATCGCCGATCGCTACGCATCCTCCATTCGAATTGGAATTCGCACTTCTCCTTGTGGCAGACTGCGGGCCCGCTTGCATGGTCAAGTGGTCAAAAGTCGAGACCCTAACGGAGAGCATGTCCCTGACCGGTATCGTGGACCCCATAGAAGATCCCCCCTCAGCGGCAATCATCGGCGGAAGGCGCCAATCACCGCTGGCCAAAGAGCACGCCGGAGACGCCACTCCGCCGTGAGCCTTCGGTGGCGGCACAGAACCTCTCACATCCCGCACTCCAAACCTCCATGGCCGGCTACAAGGTGTCACCACCGCACTACCATTGTTCCCACTGATCCTTCCGTTCGACGGGAGCCCTGCTCTGACCATTGTCCGAAGAGACCCCCAAGAAGAACGGCTTGTCCCTGCCAGAGAGATCGGAGACCGAGTCCAAATGAATCAGGATCTTGCACTGGAGCAAGGTAGGCTCCAACAATGGCGAGGACAGGCCAGGCTCCGGGACAGCAAGCCAACGGAGGGAGGGGATGGCGTCCGGGTCCGCCGTCCAAGCCGACAACTTGAACGCAGACAAGTCATGGCGAGCGCTGGTCTCCGGCTCCACCATATCCACCAGGCAAGACGAACCTAGCAGATCTTCTGCAACCTCCCTTTCCCAAGCATGAGGAGGGATTCCTTCGAGAACCAGAGACACCTTGAAGCTGAGCATGGAGTGGACGGCCTGCGCTTGGCGATTCCAGTGCCGGAAGTAGAGCCACACGCCATTGAACTCGACGAACGGCTTGGCCGCCACCAGGTTTCGATGGTCCTGGCGCGCGAAGACGATCAGGAAATCCTCTGGCCGGTAGCAATGGACGGAGAGCCACTCCAGACCGATGCCGACCACAGCTCCCAGCGCCTAAACGACGAACTCGGGGGAGGTGTCGTGCCTCGCCCCGCCAACGTAGGCCACCATTGCGAATTGCAGCCTCCTCTCTAGGCCGCCCATGCTCGGCGAGCGGCGGACGACGCAAAGCTCCTAAGGGATGAACTGCTCACGCTCCGGGGACTCAAGACACAGCGCAAAGATGCGCGACCATGCCACGGGCACAGCTTGCGGGGGAGGTGGGAGGCGGCGGAGGGACTCTCGACGGCCCGCCCGCCGAGCCAGAGCGCGTGACCTTGGCCGCCGCAGATCGCCTGAGCTCCTCCTCCGGCGATGGACTCCTGGGTCTCTTGCAGTCCTTGGATTCGTGACCCGGTAGCTTGCATCGGAAACATACCACTTGGTTGGTGCAATCGTTCTTGAAGTGCCCTTCTTCGAAGCACTTGAAGCAGAGGCCCGCCATCTCCGGCGAGACAGCACGACGCGTTCTGAGCAGAGGCGCACCCTTGGCTGCTCCAGCATCATCAGCGCGGCGGCACCTCCATTGCTCCTTCCTAGAGGGACGATGTTGCTCCCAACCTGGCGCTGTCTCCAACGACAGGGCGCCAGCCGCGGGCTCGCCGCCGACCGGCCCCTGCGCGTCCGAGGCCTCAGAGGAGGAGGAAAGGCCGAGGCCAGACACCACCGGCCGCTCGCCAGCGCGACGGAAGGAGGAGGTGACCGAGCGCGGACTGCTCGACATGCCGGAGCAACGCAGCGCCGTGGAAAGGGTTGGTGGACGCCGGGACCGGAGTGGCCGCCAGCGGGGGGAGGAGCGCTTGGGGCGACGCGGCCCGAAGCGCGAGGGTGGACGCCGCCGCCAGAGTGGCGAACGGCGGGGAGGTGGGTTGGAGCGGAGCGCTCAGGACAGAAAGATTTTGGGATCCAGATCGCGATGTGTGGATAGGTCTCAATCAAGTGGCATAGCATTTTTTTAAATCACAGGTGTCCACATAAATTTTTATAAATATACAATGACTAGAACTTGGTTAAGTCTCAAGAGATTTAGCAATCCCTTATATCTATTTTCTTTAAATAATCAATCTATTCATCAAATATCAAAATAGTACAAAAAATAGGACAAGGGTTTACGGCAGGCAAGTGCGGGGCACTCAGGTCCTGGTGCCAGCTTTTTTTTTTGGCTTCCGGTTTTAGTTTTATATCTTTTAGATGATTTTTTAATTAAGATCTATTTTCATATTCGTGTTTCTCGCAATTAGCACTTTCAAATAAGATTCATTCTAAATATATTTTGACGACTTTTGAAAAAAAGTTAAGTTTCAATGTTTGAAACTTAGTACGAGTGACTGATAAAAATCAATTGTTTTGTGTCTACATCCAATATAAAATATTGTTTCAAATTATACTTAAACTTGTTGAAACTAGGCATTTTTTATGCAAAATTGGTAAGTTTCACCGTTGAAACTTAAAGATTTTTAGGAATTTTCTCTTTTATAGTGCCCTCGTGCGGGATTCAGCTACTCCATGAATCGCGAGAAAATCGAGCGGACGGTGGGGCTTTGCAGTTGAGTGCCCTACACTTACGTGCCCATGCAAATTTCCGACAAAAAAAATATCAAAATTAAAAATTACATTCAGGTTCTTATACCATCTAATGACAACTACAACACTAGAGCGAACTGAAGGAACGGCGCCGTCATCACCCCTCCATTGTCGGAGGCAGGAACACCTTGTTCTAGTAGACAATCGGAAAGTTGACGTGCTAAGATAGGACCAGTGCACCAGAGCAACAACCGCTGCGGACGAAAAGAAGCGTAGATCGAAAGGATCCAACCTGTATACACACGAATGTAGACGCATGAAGATCATATCCAAGTGGATCCACCGAAGACCAACACCGACCTAATCCTTGAGATCCGTCGAAGATAAATCTCCACACACACCTTTCGACGATGCTAGAAGCACCATCGGAACGGGAGCTAGGTGGAAAGAATCTTATTCCATCTTCAGAAAGCCATTGTCGTCATAGCTTCCTAAGCAGGACACAAACCCTACCAAAACTAAAAAAACATCTAAAAACAGAGCTCTCTCGCCGGCAAAAACTAGGATCTACGGCATCTTCATGGCTCTAAGGCCACATGAGATGCGACAGACCGGCGGCTACGCGGTAGGAGGCAGCAGAAACCCTAGCAATGGTTGCTCTCATGGTTGGAGTGAAGACATCTTCTATATCTAAATAACTAGTCTCACTAAATATTTATCTCAACATGCAAGCATGCCATATCATCACACAACATGTATTGATGTATGAGAAATGGCTTATCCTCACTACCATATCATCACACAAGCATGCCATATCATCTCACCATGCAATCATGTTCACTTCACTATAAACATGCAGGATGAAAAAAGATCAATCTCGACATGAAAAGAAAATGTAGGGATGGAATCTGAAACGTGGCTGAGCACCATTGTGCAAGAAAACACAGGTCATGTACGAGAGCGTGAGCACATGCTGGGGAGAAAAGTCGTCGGCACAAGCATCATGGATGACGCATCGATCTTTTATATATTCCGCACTCCACACTAACCACAGAATCCCACGGAACCTTCAGGCACACCCACGGCAGAAAATGGCCAACGGAGGAGACGAGCTGAAGCTGCTGGGCATGTGGGCGAGCCCATACGTGGTCAGGGTGCAGCTCGCGCTCCACCTCAAGGGCGTGAGCTACGAGTACGTCGAGGAGGACCTCGCCAGCAAGAGCGAGCTCTTCCTCCGCTCCAACCCGGTGCACAAGACAGTCCCGATCCTCATCCACAACGGCAAGCCCGTCTGCGAGTCCCAGGTCATCCTCCAGTACATCGACGAGGCCTTCGCCGGCGTCGGCCCGCCCCTCCTCCCCGCTGACCCCTACGAGCGCGCCGTCGCGCGATTCTGGGCCGCCTACGTCGAGGACAAGCTGCTGGCGCCGTGGGGGAAGGTGTTCAGGGTGAAGACCGACGAGGAGAGGGCCGAGTGGACGAGGCAGACGGCGGCGGCGCTGGGTCCTCTGGAGGATGGCCTCAGGGAGTGCTCCAAGGGGAAGGGCTTCTTCGGCGGCGACTGCGTCGGGTACGTTGACGTCCTGCTCGGCAGCATGGTGCCGTGGGTGCGCGCCACCGAGAGGCTCTCCGGCGACAAGTTAATAGACGCCGGCAAGGCCCCGCTGCTGGCGGCATGGATGGAGCGCATTAGCGAGCTCGACGCCGCCAAGGCGGTCTTCCAGGACGTCGACAGGGTGGTTGAGTACGCCGGGGCAATACAGGCCCGGCTTTCCGCCGCGGCTGCTGCAAGCACCCAATAAAGCGGCATGGTGACATGGTGGGTGGGTGGTGCATGCAAGGAGAAAATGGCCAAGTGTGGAATTAGCTGGAATTACTAAAATGGCCACGTTTCTGTTTCTTTTTCTCGAATAATAATGGCGACGTTTCTCAGGAACACATCACATGCAAGCTTGTGTGGGGTTTTTCAAGGCACATTTACATTTACATTTCTGTCCTTGTGACAGCTCCTCCTCTGTTTTTCAAGGCACATTTACATTTACATTTGAAAACTTGTGTGGTCGTTGTGACAGCTCCTCCTCTGTTTTTCAAGGCACATTTACATTTCTGTCCTTGGCTTTGTCACATTAGTGGGGTTTGTTTTTTGGGTTTTAGGTTACTCAATTTTGCCATTGAAAGATTATATGTTTTTACAATTTTGTCTTTTCGTCATGGTTTCGTCCGGTGAAATGCCCTTGACCATTTCCTTGCTCTAAAATACCTAGGTGTATGTGCTGAAACGATGTGAAAAAAGATTCACTAAATTATACATGTACTCAATACTATATGGAAAAGAAATTTAAGCTCAGTTGGACCAAAGGTTTGGGAGATATTGATAGTTTTACTTGCCCGACGGTCATGTTTAGGTATTTTGTCACGCGTGCACTTACAAGCGAGGCCCAACCTTTAAAAATTACATCAGCGTACCTCAATATTGAAATAGACCTAACCGCAATGACTTACACCAATATGTTATGTGGTATTTCGGTTTATGCAATTCCCTCTCTTAGAACTAACGCGTCCTCTGATTTTCTACCAGAAGCCCTTGTCGAGTCACCCCCTCGTCGGCGGCCGCTCGGAATCCTTTTGAGAAAGAGAGATATATTATCTTTTTTTTATTGGTGTGTTCCATATGTGTCACTTGGCTTCGGAGAGAGATGGTCTATTTTAATTCTTTTCTTTTTTTGGGGGCGGGTCCGAAGTGTAAGGGGCATAACCCATCTTACATAACCCATCTTACAGTTATCAAGGATATTCTAGGCCAAGGAAATGGTCGACAACCGGACAGAATTGATACTGGGCACCAAAAGCATAATAGCACATCGGTTCTCAGGAGGCAAAACATAGTCTTGAAAATCTAGATGGCATGATTTGAACCATTTAACTTCAGTTACTAGGTAGGTGGACAGATTTGAACCTAGATGACATGAATGAAAACATAACTCACTTGTCATTGCGCTAGGAGGCTCCCTCCAACATAAGTTATTTAACATATGATACACTCTTATACCCTCACAAAGCATTGTTGTTTAGAGCAAGTGTTCAGTGCGTGCGGAGACTTGATGGAAACTAAACTCCCAAATACATATATACGTACATAAGTGATCAGCTTGATTTCGCTATGCTTGGGTAGTCGATACTCGGTCGCATTGGTCTGAAGCGTTTCACTTGGCACTCGCTGCCGCCGCAGCAACAGCAACACGATAAGCCTGGCGCTTCTTAGCATACTCCATCACCACGTCTGTGTCAGGTACCACCTCCTTCGCCGCATCGGTCTCAGTGAACCGTTTCGCCCAGGTCGCTAAGAGCGGAGTCTTGCCGGCGTCGAGGAACACCACGCCGAACATCTTACACTGCGCCTTGAGCCAGTGCAAGTGGCATCCTACTGCGAGGTCAAGGTACCCGATGGAGTCCCCGGCGAAGAAGCCCTTTCCGTTGGAATGCTTGGCAAATGCCTCCTCAAGTTGCTCTAGCACCGCAAGCGTCTCGCTAACCTTCTCCATCCTCTCCACCTCCGTCACTGCTTTATTAACACCGACATAAGCGGAGAATAGCTACAAGGAAGACCGTGTGACAATTTGTCAGCATAGGTGAGGAAGACACAAACCTTGTCGTCGACGTAGGTAGAATTGAGAAGACAAGGAAGACTGAACAGAGGTATGAGAACACGCAAACTTTGTCGTCGACGTAGGCGGCCCAGAAGCGGGCGGTGGCGCGCTCGTAGGGGTCGACAGGGAGGATCGACGGCCCCATGGCGGCCCAGACTTCGTCGATGTACTGCACGATGACCGAAGAATCGAGTACGGTCTTGCCATCGTGGATGAGTACGGGCACCTTCTTCTCCACCGGGTTGGACTTGAGGAGGAGCTCACTCTTGTTGAAGAGGTCCTGTTTGATATACTCGTAGCTCAAGCCCTTCATGTGGAGCGCCATGCGAACACGAACTACGAATGGGCTCACCGACAAGCCTAGCAACTTCAGGTCTCCTTGAGCTGCCATTGTTGTCTTCCGTCTCTCTGTTCTTCCGTGGTTCAATGTGCTGAAATCAATGCGAGAACAACATCGTTTTTGGATGTTTATATAGCGGGTAGTATTCCTAGAAGGAAATGGGAAGTTGCAGGCTTGCAGCCATGGGAAGCGTACTTGATTACTTGTGTGTCTACTATTTGCATCACCGGTGACGTATCATGCATTTGAACGTAGCAATTGGTCAACACTTCTCCACGGAATTGTGTGAGAGAAGTTGGTGATTGCATGTCACTAATTTTCACTTTTCTTCCGCGAACGGACTCACCACCCGTCGCTAACCAGCTTCACATCTGCGATTAGCCATTGTTCTCACCCTGTGTTTCTATGGACAAACCGACAGGGCCGGCAACAAGCTGCAGAGCCAAGCCATCCACGCGTGCGAGAAGAATCTCGAGGTGCATAATGCTGAGCGTAAACAATATGTCACCGTCATCTCATGGAAAAAAGGTGGACTAACTAGTGTACTTTGACTGCCAACCGCGTCACTGATGACGCACGGAGGTATACAAACAAATGTGAAGAATACGGTGTCTATCAGTGTTGCACTGATAGAGCAGGGGAGAAAAAAAAAGACGGCGAACGAAACAATGGCAGCCGAAGGAGGTCTGAAGCTGCTCGGCTTGACGGTGAGCCCGTTCGTGATCCGTGTACGCATGGCGCTGCAGATGAAAGGCGTCGGCTACGAGTACGTGGAGCAGGACCTGTTCACCAAGGGCGAGCTCCTCCGCAAGTCCAACCCGGTGCACATGAAGGTCCCGGTGCTCATCCACGACGGCAGACCCGTCTGCGAGTCGCTGGCCATCGTGCAGTACGTCGACGAGGCCTGGGCGGCCGCGGGCCCCTCGATCCTCCCCGCCGACCCCTACGACCGCGCCGCCGCTCGCTTCTGGGCCGCCTACGCCGACAGCAAGGTGCTCGCGCGTGTGTTGTTGCCCCAACTTTTCCTGCCGTGGTGTTTTGAGCTTGAGCCGGGTTTCATGGCCGTGGTGGTGTCTTGCAGCTCTTGCCGGCGTGGGTAGGCATCATGTGGGCGGAGACGGAGGAGGAGAGGGCGGAGAAGGTCGGCGACACGCTCGCGGCTATCGGCCAGTTGGAGGAGGCGTTCGGGACGTGCTCGAACGGTAAGGCCTTCTTCGCCGGCGACTCCGTCGGGTACCTAGATCTCGTCGTCGGCTCGCAGTTGCTCTGGTTCGAGGTGCTGCGGAAGATGTTCGGCGTCGTGGTCGTTGAGGTCGGCAGGGCTCCGCTCTTGGCCGCGTGGGTGGAGCGGTTTGGGGAGACTGATACGGCCAAGGAGGTGGTGCCGGACGTTGACACGGCGGTGGAGTACCTCAAGAAGCTTCAGTCTCGCCGGGCTGGTTCCACGGTTGCCCAGCTGCTGTCGTGACAAAATTACATGTCAGTTAGCAAGTATATACAGCGATTTTTCTGTTTAGGCCAGCTCTATAATCATGTCTTGCAAGGATTCAAAGAATGAACTGGTTTCCCTCCTGACACCACGTAGATACTTCTCCAAAGAGGATGACAAATCGTTTGTAAGAAATCATAAGTACATATATTCTTTGTCATGCATATAGTCCTGACAATACTACGGGGCTATAATGTAGATACAATCATATCTACCGATCGGTGCGGATAAGAGTACGCTCAAGGGATTATACAGGTTTAGGCCCTCAGCGGGAGGTAATACCTTACTCCAATATTGTGTTTTTGCTCTTGGCATAGGTTACAATATGAGAGTTCAACCCTCAGTCCATTGCCCTACTCGACTTATAAACAGTGCACCAGAAAGGGGTATTGTAACGGGCTGATATAAATGTTATTAATGATCGTCTGCATGACCGACTGTTCGTGGCTATTATTGTTGACAGACTATTATCCCTCCCTCCCCGAGGCGCTCCTGCGGGCGCCCCCTGGAGGAAAACCCTACCGCCGCCCCCGTCGCCCCTTTCGCCTCCCTCACCGCCGCCTGGGGCGTCGCCGGCCAAAGGCCGTGTGGCGTTGGCGGCGCGGGGGTGGGGGGGGGGGGACTCTCTCCCACACACAGTTAGAGACTCTCCAGGGCGTTCCCCTCTGCTTGGTGGCGCCGGGCGTCGGCCCGGTCCTGCCTCGGCTCCTTCTCCCCCTCTCGGCATCCTTCGCTGGCGCCGCCTCCTCCCCTCTGTGGTGGTGGGTGGCGGGGGATGTGGATCTGGGATCCTTTCCCAGATCCGGTGGATGGTGGGGGTTGGTGTTGGCAGCGGCGGCCGACGGCCCAGGCATGGTGGCGGCGAGTCTCGCGGTCTCTGAGCATCATGGAGGTGCCAGCGGCGGCTGGAGCTTAGCCTGGTGGTGGCGGCGGCCGCGCACAAGAGTTGGATTCCTTCGAACAGATCTGGATGAAAACTTGCTTTCGGCTACTGCTAAGGCCGGCGGTGGCGGCACTATCTGCATCATTCCCTTCTTGAAGGCATCACCGTGGAGAAGTTCAAGGCCACTCTCTGCTACCTTCGGGGGAAATCCTAGATCGGATGATTGGATGATGGCGGTGCTCTAGTGCCATTCCCCTCTTTGGGGCGTCATTCTTGGAGATGCACACGTGATCAAGGGACCAGAGGATGGATTCTTTGGTGGAGCGGTGCTTCATCTCACTCATTGATTGCGGCGGATCTCGGCGGCATGGCGCTGTGGTGACTCGACGTCCAATGCGTGGAGATGGACTCGCGCAGGAGGGTGACGCGGTATGGCGTCGTGGTATCGTCGACGGCAGCTAGACCGGGCAAGGTAGATGGAGCAGTATAGTTCTAAAGATGGATTGGTGGCAGGTGGCTGCGGCGGCCTCATACCCGACAGGCGTCCTGGTTGAGGAGTACGCCGGACAGGTGGGTGCCCCATACCCGACAGAAGTTCTAGATGAGACCTCAGGTCTTAGATGATAGGTTTGGCTGCGAGGTCTGTTTGATATTAGGCCCGGACTATCAGTATCCCTTCATCAATTGAATAGGAGTAGCGACACATATTACCTAGACGGTGGTTTTAGTCTTACTATTGTATTACTTTGTAAGGTCTTGTGTGAACAATTAATAAAATGGCTACATGCATCGTCTAGATGCAGAGGCCGGAGGCCTTCCTTTTTTAATAATAATAATAAATTATATCATGGTTGATTATTATTTTTCCAAAAAGAGACCCTGTCTTGATGACCATTGATTGTTGGGTCTTGTTGTAGGATCGAAAGTATGTCTAGAGGGGGGGGGGGTGATTAGACTACTTGATAAATTAAAAATCTATCCTTTTCCCAATTTTAGTCTTTGGCAGATTTTAGCTATCTTAGCACAAGTCAAGCAATCTTAACACAATTCAAGCAAGCATGCAAAGAGTCTATGAGCAGCGGAGAGTAAAGCATACAACTTGCAAGAATGTAAAGGGAAGGGTTTGGAGAATTCAAACGCAATTGGAGACACAAATGTTTTTGTCGTGGTTTCGATAGGTGGTTGAGGGAGTCCTGGATTAGGGGGTGTCCGGATGGCCGGACTATACCTTCAGCCGGACTCCTGGACTATGAAGATACAAGATTGAAGACTTCGTCCCGTGTCCGGAAGGGACTTTCCTTGGCGTGGAAGGCAAGCTTGGCGATACGGATATGTAGATCTCCTACCATTGTAACCGACTTTGTGTAACGCTAACCCTCTCCGGTGTCTATATAAACCGGAGGGTTTTAGTCCGTAGGACAACATATAGAACAACAAGCATACCATAGGCTAGCTTCTAGGGTTTAGCCTCTCCGATCTCGTGGTAGATCTACTCTTGTACTACCCATATCATCAATATTAATCAAGCAGGACGTAGGGTTTTACCTCCATCAAGAGGGTCCGAACCTGGGTAAAACTTTGTGTCCCTTGCCTCCTGTTACCATCCGGCCTAGACGCACAGTTCGGGACCCCCTACCCGAGATCCGCCGGTTTTGACACCGACATTGGTGCTTTCATTGAGAGTTCCTCTGTGTCGTCGTCGTCAGACTTGATGGCTCCTACGATCATCAATAGCGATGCAGTCTAGGGTGAGACCTTCCTCCCCGAACAAATCTTCGTCTTCGGCGGGTTCGCACTGCGGGCCAATTCACTTGGCCATCTGGAGAAGATCGAAAGCTATGCCCCTGGCCGTCAGGTCAGATTAGGAAGTTTAAACTACACGGCTGACATCCGCGGGGACTTGATCCTCGACGGATTCGAGCCACTGCCGAGCGCGCCGCACTGTCACGACGAGCATGATCTAGCTCTGCCACCGAACAGTGCCCTGGAGGCCGCACCCGCATCGGCTTCGACCCTTAATTCGGAGCCAACTACGCCGATCGAGGATGGGTGGTTGGACGCCGCCTCGGGGGCTGCGATCCCAATGGCAATCGAGCCGAACACCAGCCCCGCACTCCGCGAGACCCGTGACTCCAAGGAGCCGGACTCCTCTCCGGACTCCGAACCCTCCACGCCCCTGCCGATCGAATCCGATTGGGCGCCGATCATGGAGTTTACTGCCGCAGACATCTTTCAGCACTCGCCTTTCGGCAATATTCTGAAGACACTAAAGTCTCTCTCTTTATCAGGAGAGCCCTGACCGGACTACGGTCAGCAAGGTCGGGATACGGAGGATGAATAAATTCAAAGCCCACCCACCACCCACTTTGTAGCCACTCTCGACGATTTAACCGACATGCTCGACTTCGACTCTGAAGACATCGACGGTATGGACGCCGATGAAGGAGACGATGAAAAACTAGCGCCTATTGGACCCTCGAAAGCCACCTCGTCATATGACGTATACATGGTGGACACACCAAAAGATGACGACGAGGAGCGGAAGGACGCACCGAAGGCTTGTTCCCTCGAGAAGCAATCAAAGCGGCGACGCAAGCGCCGCCCAAAATCCCGCCTCGACAGAAATAACGATCACACAGACCCAGCGCTGGAGCAGGGCGAACCGCTGCCGGACAGCGGCAATCCGGATAATCAAACCGAACAAACAAATTCTATCAAGGATAATGGTCCGGATGACATAATGTCGGACAGGCACTCGGAGCAGCAGAATGCCCGTAAAAGGCTTGTTGCCACCGCGAGGAGTCTTAAAAAGCAGAATCAAAGGCTCAAGGCTGCGCAAGACACACTCCAAATCAGATGGAGTAAAATACTCAACACAGCAGCGAGGTACGGCGACAATCACCCCTCCAAGAGCTACCCAAAGCGGAAGCTGCTACCTGAATTCGATGAGGAGGCCTCAGACCCCCCACAACCAAATATCAAAGCATCCACCTAGCCGGATAAACGACCACTCTACCAACACAGAGCGGCATACAACGCCACTCACAATACAACACGCGACCCATGCGAGGGCTCGCACCCAAAGGACGGCGCAGCAAGATCCATCTATGGACCACGCAAGCGCGCCCCAGCATACAATACAACACAACAAACATCCGAACAACGCGGTACACCTAGCTATAGGGGTGCTGCACACCCCTTATGTTTCACCGATGAGGTGCTGGACCATGAATTTCTAGAGGGATTCAAACCCGTAAACATAGAGACATACGACGGAACAACAGACCCTGGGGTCTGGATTGAGGACTACATCCTTCATGTCCATATGGCTCGAGGAGATGATCTCCGAGCCATCAAGTACTTACCCCTCAAGCTCAAAGGGTTAGCTCGTCACTGGCTTAAAGGCCTCCCTGAAAGCTCCATTGGAAGTTGGGAAGAGCGCGAAGACGCCTTTCGGGCAAATTTTCAAGGGACTTATGTCCGACCTCCGGATGCGGATGATTTGAGTCATATAACTCAATAGCCGGGAGAGTCAGCCCGAAAGCTTTGGAACAGGTTTCTTACTAAAAAGAACCAGATTGTCGACTGTCCGGACGCCGAAGCCTTGGCAGCTTTTAAGCATAGCGTCCGTGACGAATGGCTTGCCAGACACCTCGGCCAAAATAAGCCGAGAACAATGGCCGCATTAATAAGCCTCATGACCCGCTTCTGCGCGGGTGAGGACAGCTGGCTAGCCAGATGCAGCACCAGCGACCCCAGTACATCTGAAGTTAGAGATGGAAACGGGAAATCACAGCGCAACAGCAATAACAAACGCCGGAATAAAGAAGACAGCACGAAGGGCACGGCAGTAAACGCCGGATTCAAAAGCTCTCGACCAGGTCAGCAAAAGCCGCCCTCTAAAGGCACCAGGGATGAACTGTCCAGCCTCAACAAAATTCTGGACCAAGTATGTCAGATCCATAGTACCCCTGGTAAACCTGCTAATCATACCCACAGAGAATGTTGGGTCTTCAAGCAGTCCGGCAAGCTCAACGCCGTACACAAGGGGGAGGATACACCAAGTGAAGACGAGGACGAGCCTCCCAAGCAAGAC